ATAATAATCCGGCCGTCAGGTGGTCATAATAATCCGGCCACTCGGTGTATATAATAATCCGGCCACTCAGTGTATATAATAATCCGGCCACTCAGTGTATATAATAATCCGGCCACTCGGTGTATATAATAATCCGGCCACTCGGTGTATATAATAATCCGGCCACTCGGCCCCTGTACAGTAACTGTATACACCGTGCTCTCTGAAAGGAATAAACAGCGACAACAATCCCAGGCGACGATGTCACTCGTGGTGTATAAATAAACCTAAAAGGTCCAACAATACAAAGTCTCTGAGCGTTCTTCCTGCAAACAATGCTTCTTCCCCGCTGTAAAGTTTCAATGCGTTCCTTGTGTAATCTCACACCCTGCGCAAACACACGGCTCGCCGGAAAGAAACGACCTCCTGGTTATATAAAGGTCCGGCAGCTTGTTTATATTGCTCCCCGTCGTCACTATCTATGAACGCAGTGGATGCGGATTGTGGCAGAGATATCGGATGCATATTATATTTCGCTTCTTCCTATATGATTATAGTGTTACAGTCAGTGAGCGTAACAATCGCCATAGCGACCCGAGGGGCACAGGGGGGGCCCGGGCCAGGTGCCGAGCGGACCGCCCTGGGTCGCTATGGCATCCTCTGCTGGCGGCTTTCACTGGCGGCTCTGAAGAAGAATGCGCCGCTGTTCAGATCAATGACCGGAATCTGCGCAGCGGCGCGTTTCGTCTCCACGGAGTCAATGAGACCCATCGGAGGCGGTGGAGGAGGAGGCCGGACCCGGCTGGGGAGGAGGAGGCGGGGCCTGGGGTTCGACAGCAGGTTGAGGTGACGGAGGAGGAGGCGGGGCCCATCAGCGAGCGTGGAGGAAGTGGAGGCGGACAGGTAAGGAGTGCGACCAGCCCACCTGAGGGTGACCCTGCAGAGCCCACCATGGAGAGTCTATAGTGGGCTCTGCAGGGTCACCCTCAGGTGGGCTCTGCAAGGGGTATAACTAGAAATCACAGGGCCCCCATACAAAATTTTGCTATGGGGCCCTGTGATTTCTAGTTACGCCTCTGATTACAGAGTTGGTTATATCCTGTTAATTAGTATTTATGGGAGGGAAGGGGGGGTTCTGAATTAAAGGAGAACTATGCGGTCAGGGCTTTTCCCCATAGTTCCCCTAAGGGTAACGGGAGAACACAAACTAGCGTCCTCCCGTCACCGTAAGCTCAGTATATAGGGAGCTACAGCTCGCGGTATACTGAGACGCCGGAGCGGATCCCGACAATTCTGTCTTGATCCGCCCAGCTGCGTGAGTGACAGCTGGCTCTGCCTATCTAGAGGCAGAGCCAACTGTACCCGCCCCCTCCCCCGTCCATTCCGCCAGTCAGCGCTATCGGAGCGGGGAATCCAGTCCCTCCCCTGTCATGGCAGAGAGCCGTGACAGGATCGAGAGGTGAGCGAACGCCGGTATGTGTTCGCTCCCCTCCCGATCTACTGAGCCGACCTGTGACAGTCTCATTGTCACAGGTCGGCTAGAACTATGAGGTGAGTGAAAGGCACCCCCCCTCCCCCCCCTCATAGTTCTCCTTTAATAAATATGTTTCACATGTATAGTAATAAGTTGCGGGCTGTGTGTTGATGTCACGGAATGTTTAACGCTCGCTGCCTCTTCCTGTGTATTATAAATACTCGGACCCTTTTCTCTTCTCTGGTGCCCCTCTGTCTGCCTGGTAATTGTATATCCCGGGACCAGTACATTTAGACTTTTCAAAGGCCCGGGATATATATATATTCAGCTCTTCATGTATATAGATTTAAGATGAAAGAGCATTTTTTTTTTTTTACTGCGTTCCTCTCTCAGCCCCGACTCTGAGGAACCTGTAACGCACACACGCAGCACTTCCCTATGCTGCTCACCCGAGGTGCTGCGAATGGTCTGCGGTCAGCTTTTGCCAAGGGGGGGGTAGGCGACTCCGGCACTCCAGCTGTGCATTGTCTACAGATCCCATCATGCCCGTGGCTGTCAGAGTCTTGCAGTGCCTCATGGGACTTGTAGTTCCACAACAGCTGAAGTGTCGAGGTTGCCTACCCCTGAGCTTTGCCCATGCTGATGCAGACCTGAAGTCCTGCCGTGGGCAAGGGGTGTGTTGGACCACTTATGCCGGACTGCTGGTCCAATGGCAGCGCCTCGTCCCCCTTAGCCGCGTGGTGTGGCGCATGGGCGATATCGCTTGCGGTGCATTTCAGTACAGATTGAAAAGAGAGGCATGGGAGCACATTAGTTGCTCGGGTGACCGCAGGGTTTTCTAGGAGGGTCCAGTCGGGCTTTTCGGTGGTTCTGGATGTTTGGAAACATTCGCAGGAATTGGGTTTTTTTCTTCTGTATTCTCCAGGAACTGGTCGGGCTGGTCCTGGCGGATTGTCCGCAGCTGAGGCAGTCACCGGAGCCCAGAATCCTTGAAGTGGGCTGCGGTTCTGGAGCCGTGTCCTTGGCATTGCTGCAGAACCTTCCCCAGGTACCGTACTTTCTTTTTGTTTTCAGCTGGTGATCCTGCCAGTAACACGCTCCCTGTCCCAGGCTGGCAGTGCGTGCTCACGGTGCCGTGTCTGTGGGAAATGTATTTAGGGCTACAGAGCACCTCCCCCCCCCTCTCTCCTCTTCTGTATTGAAAAGGGGGTGTGGGAATTCTGCGGTTGGCACCAGGGCTTATAACCCCTGCAGAGTGCACAGGAACACAAGGCAGCGCTAGATTTCTGGCAGGATCAACAATTCTTTTCTTTCCATCTATTGAACATATACAACAAAAGGCTCGTAATGGAATATAAAGCCGACCACAGAGGGAGCGCACGGCAACGTTCATTGTTATAGTCAGAGGCAAAAAAAGATTTGAATGTTTCAGATACTCGGACACCTCCTCTCCCTCTTGTAAGCAATGCAGTGCGGCTGAGAGCCCCAGTCCCGGAAAAGCTCATCCAGAGAGTAAGGGAGCGTGTCTGACCAGAGAAAGGTGTGTCTAATCATAGAGTGGGTGTGCCTGACGAGAGGGGCGTGTCTGACCAGAGAGGGAGTGTGCCTGACTTGAGGGGCGTGTCTGACCAGAGAGGGAGTGTGCCTGATGAGAGGGGCGTGTCTGAACAGAGAGGGTGTGGTGTCTGACCAGAGAGGGGGCGTGTCTGACCACAGAAAGGAATGTCTATTCATAGAGTGGGTGTGTCTGACCAGAAAGAGGCAAGTCTAATTAGAGAGGGGGCGTGTCTGACCAGAGAGGGAGTGTGCCTGACTTGAGGGGCGTGTCTGACCAGAGAGGGAGTGTGCCTGATGAGAGGGGCGTGTCTGAACAGAGAGGGTGTGGTGTCTGACCAGAGAGGGGGCGTGTCTGACCACAGAAAGGAATGTCTATTCATAGAGTGGGTGTGTCTGACCAGA